GTTTCGTTCTGCTGTGCACAAGGTTGCTATGAGTTGGTATTGACTCGATGGCACCTAACAACAACTATGGCTAGAAAGGTCACATTAAGTAGTTCATTGCACTGCATCATAATAATGGGTTTTGTAAAGAATTATATTTTTTGTCTGTAATGTGTGCTAAATTATTGATAACAAAATACTTGTATCCTTATAGGTGGTGACTTTTAAGTGTTTTTAAGATGTGAATAATGCTCCGTGTCTACAATTGTAGGGGTCTGTTGGGTGGACACTCTCTGGCAATCATGCTGAAAGAAAAAGGCGAGTACATGCAATGGTACAATGATGAGCTTCTTCAAATGGCCAAGCAGTTGGGTTACAAGCTTTTACCAGCTTTCAATACTACCAGTGGCCTTCCTTATCCGAGAGTAAGTAATTCTGAAAAAATAGGACAATCTTTATATACTTGTGTTGTTGTGTTAAAAAAGTGAACTTTTATGGTCAGAACCACTGATCTTCAACTGTTTCTGACTGAAAACACCAAAACGATTCAAAGCTATATGACAAAATTATATTGACAGTTCAACTTATTTACATATAATTGATGTGAGAATTTCGATTAGGTTAAGGTTTTTAAGTGTAACTGTGTAACAGGTTAGGTTATGCTTGTAGTGTAGTGAATTATCTAGTGTCTCTTCTATCCATGGTCTGTGGTGTTGGTGGTGGCGGTGGTGTGCCGTGGAGTCGGTTCCGACTCATAGTGACCCCATATAGGGTTTCTGAGGCTATAAATCTTTACAGAAGCAGAAAGCCTCATCTTTCTGTTGCGGAACGACTGATAGTTTCAAACTGCGACCTTGAGGTTAGCAGCCCGACTCAAAACCAGTACGCTACCAGACCTCCTATGGTCTGTAACTCATACCAAAAAAATGTTTCTGCTCTGCTGGAGTTGGGTAAGAAAAGGTGGAAGAAGATGCTGATAGGATGGCATGATTCAGCTGTGGATGTTAGCAGAGTTAATTGTAATTATAAAAACTTGAAATTCTAGAATGTATTTAAAATGAGCTATCTCAGAAGTAGGAGTTGGGGATCTTAACTACCATCAAAGACAAGCTAGAAGTAGAGTGTGTCCGTTGGATTTCATGATTCCTGCATATTGAACTCCTCGACCCAGGGACAGAAAGCTGTCTGAAGTTGTAGCAAAGGAGTAGCAGCAGTAGTAGAATCAAGAACCAGAGCCTGAGGCAGAGCAGTGGGCTTTCCAGTCCACAGAGCATGTAAAGCTGAGTAACTTTGGGGCAGGAGGCTTGTTTGTAGAGTGCAGTGCCTCCAGGCATTGAAGTGGGGAACCCCATTTGCTTACCCGTGGAGCTAGAGCCGAGTGTCTTCAGACTGAGACTTATGGTGGAGTGCTATCCTATGGGCATTTATCAGCAGCTGACTGAATCAACAGTGCCCTGAGCATTTTGGACCCCAAATTGTAATCTTTTAACTTCCCTAATAAACCCCATAACTCTGATTATGGTGTTTGAGTTCTGTGTGGACATTGCAACAAATTATCAAACTCAGTAGAGAAGTAGAGCCTTCTGAGTGTTATGGAAGGAATGGTTGGTGCCTCATATTTTTTGCAGTGCTACAGAAGGAACAGATGTTAGACAAGAACTTGGGCACAAATTTATGTGTACCGAAGATATAATTGAAGCAGTGAGAATGGATGCCAACTGTCTGAAAGTGATGGTAGAGAACACATGACAGAGAGGAGGAGAAAGCAGAGCCAGTGAAAAGGAGAGTGGTCAGAGACTTGTTATATGCCATCCAGTTGGTACCAACTCAGTTACCCTAGGCACAACAGAATGTCCCGCACCAACCTCACAATTGTTGCTATGGTTGAGCCCATTGCTGCTGCCATTGTGCCAATCCATCTCACTGGGGGTCTTCCTCTTTTTCTCCTATCCTCCACTTTACCGAACATTATGTCCTTCTCCAGTGACTGGTCCCTCCTGATAATATGTCTGAAGTATGAGAGTCTGGCCATCCTGATTTCTAAGGAACATTCTGGCTGTACTTCTTCCAACACAGATTGGTTTGTTCTTTTGGTGGGTGGTCCATGGTACTTTTAATATTCTCATCCAGTCAGAGACTCAGAGGACCATATTATAAATA